GATTGCCATCTAATCAGTGATTTTTTTTTTTTTCTGGTACATTCAAGTTCACAAATTTTGGTTAGCAACTTGCTCCCATTTCTACAGTCTTCTGTATTTAGAATAGTATACCCAATAGAAGCATCGTGAGAAAAGAAATGTTTGCTCTCCAGAGGGTTGTGTGTCATTGAGGGGCACAGAGTGTTGTCCTTGTTGTGTGACAGGGTGAGGGCCCGCTATACAGAGGCCTGTGTGCTTTCTGTTGTTACATGACCTCCATGCTCCTGGAGAGGCTGGAAAATTTAAAGAATTGGCACTGTGTCCCTTACTGGTATTGGAGGAAGTGGAATTATTTTGCTTGAAGAAAAAGAAGGTTGGGTGTTTGAAATCCTTCTCTGGCTCTTCCCCTGTGGGACAGCATCTGACCCCTCACACTTGGGGAGAGCAGGAGAGGCTTTGTGGGCACCTCCTGAATAGACCGGACTCCCCAAGGACAGATGGTCTTGGTCCAGAGCCTGGAGCAGGTGCACAGGGGATGGTGTGGCCAGGGTGATTGAATGTGTGCCCACATAGAAGGAAGAGCTTCCTTGCCGTGCAGACTTCAGGACGTTAGCAGAAGGGCTTGGGGGGATCATTTGAGATCTTTCGAATGCAGGAAGGCAGGGAAGGTGAACGGGGGCAGCCCAAGTGAAAGCACCTTGCTTCCCTGCCTTCATGTCTGCTTGCTGCTGGTTTCCTGTGGGGCTGGCACTAGCTGCTGATACCTGGCCCTCTTCCTTTGTCTTCCTCTCTTCACTCTGCTTCAGAGGTGCATCTTAGGGAAACTGGTAATGGTGACCAAAGGTGGATACAAGATGGGAAGTAAATAACGCAAACAGTGTCAAATCAAGGACTCCTATGAAGCTTTATTTCGCAGTCATACCTAAAGCACCATGAAGAAAAATGCATGCATTTGAAGGCGCTGGTACCGGATTCTAGCGAGACACTTCTGGTGCCTTAGGCCGGACTGCCCACTGCAATTTTGACAGGTGTAGTTTCGTGAAATTGAAGGCTACTGAAGATCATTCGCTTCTTCTTGTTTAAAAAGAAAATCTGGTTTTCTTGAATACTATTTTTTCACAGTGTGTTGGGTCTTAAGATGTTCGCGGCTTGAAGGAGATGACGTGAGGGTGTTACTTTCATAGATCATGTGTGTGAGAGGGAGTGTTTGTGGAGTTAGTGTCGTTACTTTGTGTTGTGTTGATGGCCACAAGTGTCTCAGAGCTCACTGTCCGCGGTTGACCTTCCCTGTGCTAGACATTAGAACCGCGTAGACTAGAGATACTGTTGCAGACAGTAACCGTGACGTTAAGTGGCCGCTTTGTGCCCGCAGATGACGAGGACGGCATGGACTGCGTCGACAACGAGCGGCGGCCACACTTCCCTCAGTTCTCCTATTCTGCCAGCGGCCGCGAGTAAGGTCCCCGTCCTGCTCCTTCACTGTCATCCCAGATTTCCTCCTCAAGATGATTCCCGGACATCACACCAGTCGTAGCTCTTACAAAGCAGGAGCGCCTCCAGACACCCCAGCCCACTCTCACCCCCACGAGAACACACATGGACGCAAACACACTTGTTTGTTTTTGCATGAAATTGTATCTCCGTCTACGGTCTCATGCTGCTGCTGCTACTGTCTTACTATTCTAGCAACTTTAAGAGGTAATTTTACAATCTTTGGAAGTCATGAGCCCACCATTGTTCATTTGTGCACCAGTTGTCATCTTTCGATCTTTTAGTTTTTGTTTATCCCTAACAGTGAAGGCTAAATGAGATACACTGATTCTAGGTACATTTTTTAACTTTCTAGAAGATACATCGAAAACTAATTAGACTAAGAAGATTTAGTTTATAATTCAGAACGAGCACTTGTGGCAGGGTGGTGATGTGCATATGCAGAACTGTAGGAAGGGGTTAAGAAATCGGTGCATATGGTGGGGATCGCGCACTCAGACCTGGCCGGAGTCCCTAGGGATGCATCTGAGAGAAGGAGCGAGCGACCGTTGAGATAGAGCGCTAGATACACATGTAGTCCCTGTTGGACGCTGCAGAGGAAGCCCGCTGTTCACCCGGATGTCCAGATGTCATGGGTGGTCATTGGCAAGATGGACACTGCTCTTCCAGGGAAGGAGGCATACGCACAGCAGAGGCAAGGTCGCTTACAGGCTCGATGACACGATTTGCACCAGAGAGCATTTTTTTCCCCCTGTGCTTGGAAACCTTTTCCCTTCTTGATATTTATCACCTCTGATGGCTGAAGAATGTAGACAGGTATAATGATCCTGCTTTTCACCAAAATTTGTACACCGAGGTAAACAGGTGTTTGCCTTATTTGTTTTTAAGTTTTGACTTTCAGTTCTACGTGAATTAGCTTTTTCTCGGATGTTAAAACTTTGAATGTCCTTTTATGATTTTGTTTATATTGCAGTAGTATTTATTTCTTAGTGAAGACAGTTGTGTGTCACGTTAGCAAACGCAGCTCCGACTTACATGAACTAGACTCACTGCGGTTTATTTTGACCCATGTGCAAGGAATGTACACGCCAATGAGAATCATGCACTTTTTCTCCTTTGTAACAAAATTTGATGAGGCTCTGAAATTGTACGTATTGGTTAGAATTGGACTTTGGGAGAAGAGATGCTGGCACTGAACCCCTTGGTGCTCAAAAGGAGAAAATCCCCAGCTCTCCGTGCCGAGGGGTTAAGGAGATGGAAGGATGTTGCTGTTGACCATTTGAGAACGGAAGTGCTCTGACAACCCGGCGACGTCTCGCTGTGAAGGAACCGCGACCGGCATGACCGTGACAAATGCACCATACTTGGCAAAATGCACACATCTCGAGTATTCACCAAGTAGGCAGTAAGGGGTAAGAACCTGGTGTGTTTATTCCAATCATGGTACATTTATCACTGAATTAAGCCATCAGGGAGAAAACAAAACAACACACACAAAAAGAACACCTCCAACTTTTCTTTTTCTGTATATATTCATGTCCCCAAATTCCAACATTTCTCACTGAAAGGGGACATGTATGCAAACCTCATCTTTCTCCTTCATTAATGATGATCTTCAGATTAAACCCTTTGGTGCTAGGAGCTGACATTTTCCAAAGCAGCCTATGAAGTCCAGGGGCTGGGGGTCCTTGCTGCGGCCGCAGGAGGCCGGCCGGCCCCGTGGAGCGATTGTGGAGATGTCTGTAGTCACATGTTCTGACAGCTCCCCGTGGAACTCTGCGGCATGACATGGTATGACGACCCAGATGCATTGTGTGGAAGAGCAAGTGACTTTCTAAGTAGGATGAATCATATTCATACGCAGATGTCTTAGCCTCGTGGCGCTAGGAGTGTGGATCTGTAGATGAGACACCACTGCTGGCGGTGGGCAGGCCACTGGGACTGACGGGGGTCAAAGGGCATTTTACTAAGGCAGCTAAGACATATTCAGACATAGGTTTTATCCTAATTTTTCATATTCCTATCTGAGTGAAATTCATCCTTAGCATTGAGTAGGAAGTTACAGGAAATGGTAGTTCATTCTTACTTACACATGTCGCTTCACTTTTTCTCCACCCTTGGAATTTTGTTGAATGTTTCACTTTGACCAGAAAGTAGACTAGAAGGTATGTCCTATAAGTTGTCTCGCATCCATTTTATCCAAAAGGAACAGGTAGAGACAGAGAAGGTGGCTGAGGCTGGTTGATGTTCGTGCGGAGCGGCATTCCTCTGGCAGAGGAGGGCGACCCTGTATACTAAGCACTTCGATAGCTTCCCCCCACAAACCTTAAGGTGATTTCCCATGACCTTGGCCAAGGACACTTCCTGAAGATGAATGACCGCGCTGACAGTGCCCCTGGGCTGGCCACGCCTCACGGCTGGCTCTCCATCTCCAGCCCGCACGCAGGGCTCACTTGCACTGGACCTTGAGATGCGCCAGGGCCGGCAGGGCCTTTCCTTGGCTTCCACGCCCAGCCCCCTCGCTCTCGCTCCCAGGTATCCATCAGCTGGCGCGGAGGAATGACAGGATAACAGATGTGCGTGCGTGCGTGCGAGCGCGTAGAGGAAGGTTTCCGCACCTGCCCTTGGGGCTGCCCGTGGCCACGGTGGGGGCTGCTGGCAGAAGGGGAGGCCCAGAACCCGGCATTGCTCCTTCAGAACACGGGTCAGACACAGCGGACTCCATCCCGCACTCACTTCCGCGAAGTCTGCCCTCTTGTCTTAATGCAGCCATCTGGGAGGAAATTGGCCATTTCTGCTTGGGTTTTTTGGCAGGTTGCTCACAGCTTTGCTTTCTACACTGATGACATAGCATTATTCCAGTATTGTTTTCCATTTCCCGAACCTGATTTCCGGCTTCTTAAAGCTGACTCTTCGGGCAGGGGCCCCTTGCTTCTCCTAGAGGACAAAAGTAAGGGCCTTCCTTACTAACTGCAGGGTCTCTGTATTACACCTCAACGTACACACTTTGCTGCTACTGTTCGTACTGTCTACAGTAGAATTTCCTTATCTTGCTCCTGGTAGTGCATTACAGGCAAGCATGAAATGTAAAGTATTTATTTAAATAAAAAGAAAAACCTCTAAATTGGTAATTGAATTACCTCCCTGTAGCTTTATAGTTTGTGACATTTCTTGACCTTGCTAGTTCTTTCATTAGATCCGCGCAAGATCTAGTCATCTGGTTAAGGATTTTAAGCAGACGCAACTATGAACCCAAGAAAAACTGTATTACTATTACTGTCGGTCATACTAAAACTGTTCATTTCCTTAAGTATATGACCCACAAGGATGTGAAATAACTACAAGAAACTGTTTTTGTACACTGTACATCCTTAGTATTTTTACACGTATATGATAGGGATGCACATTATTTTCCTTCGTACAGACGGCTTAAATAAAGCACTATGTCAATCTGCTACTTCTCTGTTTATTGTTGTTGGACGTGGTTCTGTAGTCTCAGAAAATATGCTTTTCTGGAAAAAAAAAAAAAAGATTTTTAATAGCTCCAGCTGGTATTAACCTACCCTATATAAAATGTGAGAGGAGAATAACGTCCGTCTCTTGTAGCCCCAAACACACACAGGACTGCTTTGTTATTTACTTGAGTAAAATGGCAATAGTGCAGTTGTGCAGACTTGGACGAGGGGCGACTTCTGAAGGGGAGGTGCTGACCCCGCAGTTACGGGTCTCAGGTGCATCTCCTGTGAAGTCAGGGATGAAGGGGGCTCCCTGGAGACGTGTTAGGGACCTAACAAGTTTTACACCAGACAGTTTGGGCCCAGAACTCTTCAGGAGTTTCGCTCCTCAGTGATGTCTTCCTGATAATCTTACACGTGTTGCTCTGCATACTTCCTTTCTTAGAATGTACGTTGGCAAGTTAACAAACTTAGTCGTGGGTGAGAAATGGGTAGGGTGGTTGTACTCCAGTCTGATTTATCTAAACTCATTTTGGTTGGGGCCTTTTTCTGATTTTACCTCATAAACCTACTATTGTACAAACTTGGCTTTGCTCCTGTGACTAAGCTGAGTGGAGGAATGGCTTTGGGACCAGAGTCAGGCATGTGTGTGTCACACGGGCAGATCCGAGGGTGTCCTTATGTGTGCTCTTCTCTCAAAACCGCTGGGATGGACAGATCAGGAGGCTAAAATAAAGTGACCTCTACAATTCTTTAAGGGTGCTATTTGTAGAATATTGTAATTTATTTACTGTAGTCCTCAAACAGAATTAGGGACAGTTAACATATCTTAGGTGACAACCTTGATGTCTAGCACATTGGATTAAATCAAAAACTGAATCCATATAGTAGAAGTTCCACTCTTTTAGGCTTGAACCTTTGACATGCTCGAGAGACTTCTGAAAGGTCTTTGCGTATGTATCATCCCATCGCCTCCGAAGCCTAATCCCCGTGTCTGTCCCAAGAGGCCACGGGAGGGCCGGTGAGGGCGAGGATTCGAGAACGCTAGCCAGGAGAAGGGCCTGAGGTCAGGGCCTCCTCCCGCCTGCTGGCAGCCTTGCCTTTAGCACTTCATTGTCCTCCTCAAATACAACACAACACTTTCAGTGCCCAGTGTTTATTACTTTCAAGCATCTGAGGGCTTAACTGTGTAGTAGAAATACTCTCTTAAACTAAAATAATGATCCATGTACAGATATCTGATAGACCTCAAAGTCAACTTTGTAATTCCACGAAGTACATTCGTAGGCTCCTCTCAAATACTGCACATTCGAGAAGAAACCTGACACCACCAAGCCAAAGACGCTTTCTTGTCTGTTTTCCTTGTGAACAGAGTGGACAGGATAAACAGTGCTTCCTGGTGTCTCCCGACTGTGCCCAGAGTAGCAGGATGATAAGTAATGGAGTCTTACGAGATGTTGATTAAAAGCATCAGAAGTTAAAGGATGCTCTCTAGCTCACGAAGAGGGAAGGAAACGTGAATGACAGGAAGAAAGTCTGGTCCTTAATACCCTCTGGCCTAGTTAAAATATGTGCCTTTTTGGTGTGTTTCGTTCATCACTACAAGGTAAAAAGGAAACATTACAATTCAGGTCTTTAAAAAGTTCATTTATTGAAAGTCGTGTGTAACAGCATACAAATGAGCAGATCTAAAAACATCATCACTTCAAGCCATTTCTGGAGACATAGCAGGAGGGCGCATCATCCGGTGCCAGAGCTGAGCCACAGCCGCCCGCACGCAGGTGCCTCCAAGCAGCGGACGGGGCACCGGGCGAGGAGCTCGCTGCCGTCCCAGGCGCTGGCTGCTGTTCCAGAAGGTCGTGGCGCGCTGTGGCATCTCATGAACAAATCAGATGAATGTAAATATCTCTTTGTAAACCATTTATTTCACTCTGTTTCGTCCAGGTCAGCAATCAGATTGTCGCATGCTGGGTAACTGGAAAAAATGATAATAAAAAGTAAGTTTAAATAGATCTTGTTCTTCCCTGTGATTTGTCTTCTCACTGGCTCAGGTGCCCTTTCTACATTTATGAAGAAAAACCACTCTTTTGACTAAAAATGCAGGGACTGTTTGTAACCGCACAGATGAAAAGTTTGCACTCCCACTTGACTATGGAACATGAGGTGAACGACTTTAAGGCTTTAACTCTGAAAATGACCCGTACCCCAGACATGTGTCCATCTCTTGAGGAAGGGCGGAGAGCCACCACCTCCCTGTCCAGGGAAGGAGACCCCGATCCATGCCAGGACCTCTTTACTGAAACCGGTGAGACATTACAGCTGGGGGACCTAGAACAAAAAAAGCATGCAGGCCAAGTGTCCCTGAGACACTCCTAGTGAAATCAAAACGAATGAAAACTTCCCAAGTTTTTAGCAGCAGACGCTATTATAACATATATAAGGGCATTTGTTCTTTCACATAGAAACCACCTCCCACATGCTGGAAGAGGGAATTTGGTGTATCTGGCCTCTTGGCTTTAAACAGGAATAAAGGTTTCAAAACCAGCTCATGAAAACTGGGTTGAGGGGGGTCACAGGTTAGTGGAGTTTGAGTACAGCGTTGATGGGTCTGGCCCACGGGGCTGCTCAGATGAGCTTAACTCACAGCTGGAAGTGGTGCCAGAAACCACTGCAGACAGTTCCATTCTACAAAACAGGGCAACTCCTGGGTACCTAGCCGGTACCACGTGCGAAGATGAATAAGACATTGACCTCAAGGAGCAGGAGGTCCTAAGGATGGTGGGCAGTCTGGTTGGCAGTCACCTTCCAGAAAGACACGTGGACCTCTCTCTGCACTCCCCAACGCAGATTTCCTGAGCTAGAATCGGCAGGGGGAGGGAGGCTTCTGTGAGAACCCAGTTCCAGCCACAATTACTTGAGGATTTCCAAGACAGGACACTGAGTGACAGATCAGAATTCACGTAAGAAAAATATGAAAATCAGTCTGTTGCCTCTTTTGAAAGATGCAAAAAGGGAATGTTTCTATCTCAGGTGCGCCTCGGTGTGAGTGACACTGATCATGTGTCTTCAGTGCGCAAGTCTGTAAGTAGAAGGGTCATTAGAATGGCATGTGTACAGCTGTCCCGCTTGGAACACAGGTGGGGGCTGTGCACTGAGTAAGCAAGTGGGATGTGTCTCTCTGAGCACAAGGATAAGCATAAACCACGAAAGGCATATTGCAAAAGAAAAATGTAACCGAACTTTGGGTAGAAGACACACACACCCCCAACGTCTGTACAGAATAATGGTAAAGACCTGCACTAGAAAGAAAATGTTGCAGGAATTCTTTTAAACCGAGCTCAAGGAAACTGGCATCTCTCACTGCAATGAGTTCACAGTGCCCATGGGCTCCAGGCCCATTTGGTAACTGATCATCACCCGACTGGTCCCCCGGCGGCCTGTGGTGGCCCCCTGGAACCTGCGACCTCCGGCGCCTGTGGGATCCCTTGGGAGCAGTGCGGGTGTGAGGTCCCAGGTGTGTGCAGACCAACAGGAGCCAGCCGCAGTCTCTCCACTGGAGCGAATTCCCTGTCACTATCTCTTCGCTGGTTTGGTACTTTACTTGGTTTTGATGCAAAACCCTCCTGATTTTAGTATTAGAGCCCCAATATTACCATTCACTGGTCTGGGGTCACCTGTGCCCACATCACTGTTTGGTCTACAAATGCAGCACAGTGTTGCCCTCCATTCGCTGGAGCTTTGGTGGAGAACATTCCTGAGTGCTCCCCCCATCCCGCAGCATGTCCGGAGACAGAGAACCTTTAGCTACTGCCCAATTCCCACTCCTCTGCCATCACTTCTTAGGGCTATTTAGTCATGCTTATTTCCAGAAAGTTGGGTCCATCGTCCACACCAGTGATCACGGTCTGGTTGGGGGGTGGGTGGGGAAGGGTGAGGATGCATGTGCCAGTGGGACATTAGCTGGTTTGAACTGGGGCTGGAGCCCTTGGCCACCACCTCCCCATCCTCTGCCTTCCAACCTGTCACCGCGGCCCCTTGCTGCGGCCTGCCTTGGTGGTGTGGCCACATCTGCCGTGGTCTGTGGCTGCCCTCCAGAAGAGGGGCGGGCCAGCACGGCACTCCGGCAGCTGCTCCTCTGAAATGCTGTCCACAGATGACAGAAATGCCCCCCATCTACACACCCACTGCTGCGACCCCATCTTCTTTGTTCTCGTTGTAAGACCTAATAGAGCCTTCTCTCCACAAACCCTAACTTTTGTGTTTATTTCTGAAGTCTGACTTGAAATTCGGAGTTTAAAAAATGAGTCTCTGGGTGACCTGAATTGTTCCCCAGGCAACCACGCTGTGGGGTCCAGCGGAGCCTTTTCTGCGGCTTTGTTTCCAGGCTCCCCGGGCCCCCTGCCTCACACACCCCACCCTAGGGAATGCCCGCCCCGCCTCGCCCCTGCTCACAGACTGCGCTCGCTCAGCCTCACCCTGACCCGAGTTTCCATGTGCAAACCTCCACCCAGCCTCTCGCTAGTCTCCCCACACGCAACACCCCCACCCGCCTCACTCATTTGCACGTTTTCTGTTTCTGTTGGCCAGGTCAAAAAATGGCCCCGTTCCTGGTGCCTCTAGCAAGAAAGCATCTATTTTTAACCAGAAGCGCCTCACCCCCCTACCTTGAGGGGGGGCGTTCTCAAGCTTGCCCCCAGTGAACAGAGCTCCAGGGAAGCCACCAGTAGCTACCGCTTGGGGGGTCAGAGCCGGCTGCAGGCCCCACCCCGGGAGAGAAGCACATGGACGCCCACCTGTACTTGTGGCCCGTGGCGCAGGGACTGGACACCACCTTCTCGAGAAGTCCAGGTCCCTGCCAGTCACTTCCCAGTTATCTCCACTTCATTTCTGGGCCTTCTTTGTCCTGCTGGTATAGGAAGGTCTATGAATGACCTATCCAGAGGCCCCTTTGTGCCTCCAACCAGGTCAGCTTCACGGTCACCCCTGCTGGCGTCGGGGTCATGCAGGGGCCCCCTCTTAAGGGGAAGCTGGTTCTCTTTTAAAGGGCTTTTGTGTTTTGGTTTCGACCAGGACCTGAGTAGTTAGGAAAGCGAAACCACTTCCCGGGAGTGGTACAGAACTGAGATCTGAGCCCTGGCAGTGTGACCTTCAAGTCCCAGCTCTCTCGTGCTCTTCTGACGTGCTCAGCGAGCGCCCAGAAGCCATGGAGTGTGACTTTTGTGGCGCCGAGCAAGAGTCAGATGTGGAAGGCCGGCCGGCACACACCGGCCACGTGGACTCCGGGTGGTCACCAGTCCGCTGGGAGGAAGGTGCCCTCGCTAGTCCTCTGCAGAACTTTGTGGATCATGGCCTGAGGGGGCAGATCGGAGTTGGGGGGAACCACAACATTTCAGAAGACACAGGGCACACGGCGGGCTGCCTCCAGGTCAGCAGTCTTGCCTTGTGCCCAGCAAAGTGGCCCACACGCTTGCGGACCTTCTCGGGCTCCAGCTGTTGGCAGGTGCAAAGCAAACCCAGAGTTCACGGCGAGGTCGCCGGCACACCCGGCTGTCCATTCTCCCCTCGGGCTGCCCAGCTGGGCCTCTGACCACCACAGGTCTGTGCAGGCAGAGGCCAAAGCCCTGGGTTCCCTAGACCACGGGGGCCACAGGCCTGACTCCCTGCTTCTGGGCTCCCAAAGCAGGAGGAGCCCAAAGGAGTCAGAGAAAGGAGAAGGCCGAGGCGAGAAAGCCTTCCTTGCAGAACGAAGGCCGGGCCCGGGCTTCCTTGGCTTCCTGGAGAACAGCAGCTGGAGTGGACTTGGGACCAGCAGCCCCGGGGAAGGCGGGGAGCCCTGGGAGCACACAGCCGGGGTCGGAGTGCAGGGGCGCCCCGCTCCTCCCGGCGGCTCTGCCGACACCAGGGTCCCACACCTCGTGCGGTTCCGTGATGCCGTCTTCCGGCTCTGGAATCCTGCGAGTCCCGCGAACTTCCCCTGCACGCGGGCAGGTGTCTGTGTTTTAGAGGGACCATGTTTCCATGGTAAATAGATTTTTAAGAATTCCCAAAGGACAGACAGTGGCACCAACAGCAGAGAGAGGAGCCTCTGGCTGCCTCATGTTTGAAAGCGTTAAGAATAAAGACAACACTGACATTTGGGGTTGTAATGTGACGGAATCACAGTCTTTTAAAGGCAAGAACCACTTCTCCACACTCCATGCAATATTCAGTGTTTTGTTCACTTGTCTAATTGGATTAAAATATTTAGCTCCCTTTAAAATCTTGATTGTGAATTTATATTGCAAAATGTAATGTCTGACTCAGGAAGCAGTAACTGGGGCAAGTGTGTCTGAGGCAACAGAAAATTTGATTTATTTTTCTTCCATGAGTCTCATTCTGAAATTATTCACTCTTGGACAAAGTGAACTGTTAAACGGAAGAGCGAGTTTGGCTTCGATGAAGCCGTATGTGCTTTTCAGTATTAATTACACACGGGGTCTTCCGTGAAACAACCACCACCACAACAACCACAACAACCCACAAAAGTTAAACTGTGCTATTTGAGTTGCTCGGGGAAGTTTCTCTTGAGGGTCGCAAGACCCTTATGTTGGAAACACAGCACCAGGGGTCTCATGTCACTCTTTAGAAACACTCAGGCAGCAGGGAGTTAATGACATTTTAGCTGCATATGTTCAAGTGTATTTAAAAAAATATGCAAGTCACTTTGGTTGACAGTGTCTTGTACACAGTTTTGAAAGAATCAGGGCAAACTTTAACAGAGTCAGTTTTTATTTGAAAAATATTTTCTGGGAATGTATCAGTGTTTATTTTTGAGACTGACAATTCGGGTGAAAATCAGGATAAAAACAAAAAAACAACAATTTGGTTGAAATCAAATTGTTTGTTTTCATCTATTTAGAATTCTTTCCAAAAAATCTTGGTTCAGGAGGAGGCTTTCTAATTTATTTTATTCAGTGTATTTGCTGTTCTATTCAAGCGCCATCTGTCCTGCAGGTAGCTGACTTCGGGGAAGCGCCCACGTGAGGCGGGCGAGGCCCCCAGGGCTCCGGAAGGACCCCCACAGAGCTGCGTGCACCTCCATCCTGTTCGGGGTGAGCAGCGGGCACACCCTCCTCAGTGGGACCCCCGCCCGGTGACCCTCCCTTGAGCAGCCATTTCAAAGGTGCCCTGCCCCTGGCTTCAGGTCACAAGTGGGCCCTGCCTCCCCTCCTCCCCTGCGCCGGGTTCTTTGCTCGGTTCAACTCTCTTGCCGGCTCCTTCGGTGTAATGAGATCATGTCCATGATTTTGAATATAATCACATGTGGCTGCTGGATCCAAGCACAAGTTTGAATCACATTAGAAAGTCAATTCACTGCCAAGAATGCTCAAAAGTCACAGGGCCTCCTGATTAACCCCTGATAAGTCAGTCTCATCCTGACTGTAGAGACGCTTCATCTGCAGACTGAGCACTGAGGACGGAGCCACAGGGCCCACGGGGAAGGCAGCTATCAGAAAACGAGATCTGAACCCTGAGTCATTGCCCAGCGTTATACCCCAAACTCTCTGGGGTATAAAACCATCCTCTGAAGGGACACCTTCTGTTCTTTCCCATCTCTCAGCCGCCACTCTCCCCGAGAAGAGACTGATTCCCTTAGAAGCTGGCATCACCCTCCCTAGCCAGAGGTTAGAGCCCCAGGCACCAGGTCCCAGAACGCTGACCCTGCTCCCAGCCACTAGGCCCCACCACCACTCTCCTGAGACCCAGCCAGACTCTGCCCCCTCCCAAAAAGAGGCACCAGGCCTGTGCGCAGAGAGGGGCTGTGGGGCCGTGTCTGCAGGCAGGCTGGGTGGGGCTGGGTGGGGGCTTTGGGGCTCCATTTCTCCACAATGACCAGCATCACCATTTTAGGACATTTTAAAAGCCATTTTCTAGAAGTCCCCTGCCCGCAGCGTGAGGCAGGAGAGGAACAAAGCCACTGCATTTAGTCACACGAAGAACAAGGACCAGAAGCCCTGAGCCAGGCCCACTTGGCCGGCCCAAGTCCTGCACACCAGCGGCGTTGGAGGGGAAGGCAGGAATTCTCACAGTTAAAAACATCATGCGGCCGGCCTAGTTAGGCCCACGACCAGCTCGCTCGGCCAGACTGCTGTGCGGGTTTTAGAATGTAAGCAGAAACGACTCAGAATAAAGAACCCTTCTGAACAGACGTCACTGTTTTCCTATCATGGGCTGCAGGCCAACCCTAGGCCAGTCATCTGCTCCAGGACCCAGGAACAAACCAGAGTCCTGGGACTCAGCATTGGGTGGACAAAGAGTTTGAGAGTTTGACCTGCCCCATTAAGTCCTTAGGCTTACTCCAACCAGGCTGAGAACACAGAAGCCTTTAGCTAAACATTTCATCCCTAAATGAAAAGATGAACCAGTGTCTCTCCAGGAAAACAGGGAGTGGGGTCAGTCCCTTGGGAGCTCGCAGCAGGAAGCTGTCCTCCTATATCCCTGCTGGGGGCACACAGCGGCCTCATTTACTTAAAGGGCTGGAAGCTCGGGGTACCTGGGTGGCTCAGTGGGTTAAACCTCTGTCTTTGGCTCAGGTCATGATCTCAGGGTCCTGGGATCGAGCCCCGCATCGGGCTCTCTGCTCATCGGGGAGCCTGCTTCCCCCTCTCTTCTCTGCCTGCCTCTCTGCCTACTTGTGAGTTCCCTCTCCCTCTCTGTCAAATAAAATCTTTAAAAAAAAAAAAAGGGCTGGAAGCTAAACTCACAATTCCAGTTTATTCCATGGCCGAAGTAGGTCTAATGCCACACTTGGGTAGAAAGAGCAGGGCTTTGGTTTAGATATTCGGTAGAGAGCTTGCAAAACTGGATCCTTGCCTCTTCTTTGAACACTAGTATTTGCTACTGAAAGCCAACAGTCCCTCTATGAAATGTCTTTTGTCGTGTTCATATTAAAATAACTCCAAATGTACTATTTGAATCTGAAAGATCCCTTTAGAGATGAGCCAGATGGGCTGGGATCAGATAACTCAGGATGGTCAAATCATCTCTGTGGCTTCAGGCAAGAGAAGAAAGACCTGCTCCCTTTTTTGAGGATTTTTTGAGGTTTGGGTTTTGTTTGTGTTTTAAATGCATTTTATGAAAATTCTGCAATCCATTTGGCAATTATCAGGTTTTTAAAGCCCTGGAAGAGGTTTCTAAGCATTGATGGTCCATGTTCAGATCTGAGTGGCTGTGAGGTAGGCAGATGGGGAGTTAAAAGGGAAATCCTACATGATAATGATCTGGTCCAGAATCAACAGGAAACTGCCATGTGCTCAGAGCTTGGACAGAAAACTCCCCACAAGTCTTATTCTGAAGTGGTTCTTGGCTCCTAGAGCCAAAGGATTCACTCATGCTAAGAGCCCCTGTCCTTCCACCACATGTGACAGGAGCCTGGTCCCCCACCTGGAGAGCCGGTGGCCCCAACCTTTGGCTAGCTCCATGCACGGCCTCCTGCAGGACCTGCCCAGATAGTTAGGTTGTGGCCCGGGTCGAGCCTGAGCCTTTCAGGGCCTCCAAAGCTCCGCGTCCCTCAGAATTACCCAACCAGCTTGTTAAAATGCCGATTCCTGGCGTGTGTGACTGGAGGCTGTGAATCGGTGTCCCTCGCAGTTACCCATTTGCAAGCCCCCCAGACGCCTGTGATGAGCGGTGTGAGAGGGTCAGCGGCGCCAGGGCCACGGGGTACAGGCGGGTCCGCAACCCCAGGCCGCAGTTCAGCGCCTGGCACTGGGGTTTTCTTACTCTCCGCGGAGAAATGAGTAGTAGCGGCGACGGCTTCGGTACACCGAGTGGGAAAACTTCCTCAGAGGAGGGCGGCTCCCCGGTACCCACTCGGCACATTTTGAAAGAAGAAAGAGAGACAGCTTCTCACTCTTCTCACGGCCAGAGGCACTCTTCCCATTCATCATTCCAAGCTCCCCGTGTGGGCGCCTGGGGGCTCTCCTAATACAGCACCCTAGGACAAGACAGAGACTGGGGCCGGTCCCGGGACCACCTCATTACCCTAACATGCTGCTTGATGGGGCAAAAAGTACAGCTTCTCCGGCAGGAAGAGAAGCCGTTTAGGGGAAAAGGCCTCACACCGTACTGCTGACTCACCGGGATACTCTCCTCCCTCCATGATCCCTTTCGGTGGCCCCAGATCTACCCCCAACAGGGAAAGCCCGGACTGTGGCGTCGGCCTTAGGTGCCATTTGTAGTGGCCCGACTGCTAGCTCTGCAGGCTGCAGCCTCGGTTTCCCTAGCTGCGAAGCGGAGACAAGCATCGATCCCGCAGGCTCGTTCAAGGACAACGAGAGTTCGCGCACGCTGTACAGGCAGCGCTGCCGCGCGCAGTCACCAGCCGCTGACGTCGGACAAGACTCCTGCAGCCACTCACCGTGGCTCCTCCAACTGGCAGCCCCTCTTTCCTCGGCCGCTTTCAACTGTACACAGCCCCCGGGCCCCCCCGAGTCTGCTTCCTGCACAAAGCCTGCTCGCCGCTATAGCCCTCTGCATCCTTCCGCGGGCCACGGCTCCACACGGTGCGGCCTGCTGAGTCGAGGGTTGTTCTTGCGCGTGAACTCCAGCTCCCTAAAGAGGGCAGGCCCGAGGGCTACACATCCGTGTCCCCCACCATGGCCAGCATGGTCTTCAGGATCCCCCTACGGGCTGCCCAACGGGAGTACTAGGGGTTGCACCTGTCATGGCGCAGCTCTGAAACAAGGAACAAGAAAAAGCCCCACGCGCAGACACCGCTGTGTCCTCTGGGGGGTGAGCCAGCCCAGAGGACCCCCTCTGCCCCCACACACGTACCCCTGCGCGGGGTCTGACCGGTACCTGGGATCTCAGACGTCCCACCTCTTCGGCCAGGCTCTGTCTCTCCAGAAGAAGCTCGTTCTGCTTTTTGAGAAGCTGCACCAGCTGCTGGGCTGTGGCCTGGCTGTGCTTGTCCAGCTGCTTTAGCCTGCGGAGAAATCCACCGCAGAGTTAGGGATGGGTCCTGAGGCGTGTGGCCAACAAGCTGCGGGGGGGGGGGGGGGGGGGGGGGGGGGG